TACATGTGTTAAATGTTTATGTCAACCCTCCCTTGTATGATCGATCAAAGCACATCAAGTTTGACAACCTAATTTATATAGGGTTGGATTTTCGTCAAAATGAGTTTTTTTTAGTGAGAGCATGAGTTCATCTACCTATTCCTATCATCATGACTGAAACTTTAACAAATTCATGTATGTAAAAATGATTGAACATATTAAAAGTTCGTGAAGGTGAAAATGAATGTATGGATAGAATGTGTATTTTTTGTTATCCATGAGATGAAGGTGGTTGAAAGTCCATGTTTCTTAGCCGTTAGATTAAAAATGAACCCATTCAAAAACTCACAAGTGTTTTTACATTCTCAAAAAAAAAAGATAGTTTTCATATGATCCCAACATTCATTCTCTCTCTCTCTCTCTCTCTCTCCCTTGCGCGTGCGTGCGCACACGTTTAAATGAGAACACTCTCCAATTTACGGGAACGTAAGAACCCCACAAAACGCCCAAAAAAAAGTATAATAACATTGATATCAAATTAAAGAGAATAAAATGCTCGTGTTTGATTTGTTAGACTCCATTTGGTTATATTTCCCCGATTTTAGATTTAGAAAAATGGGGGGTTGCTTTTTTTTATTTTATTTAAGAAAATGGTTGTATCTATATTTTTAATCACGTTTGTTAGATCATTTCGTTTTACTGTTGAGATCCATTATTGCATTTTTTGTAAATTGGGAGCGTTCTCGTTTAAACATCGACCTATAACTAAGAGCATGTTTCAGAACAAAAAAAACATGGCAAAATAAGAAAAACACGACAACAGATCTCATTCTTCCACCTCCACTCGAACTGATGGCTTCCACCTCGTCAAGGTGACACTCTACAGTTGAGTTATATCCCTTCCTTGCCCCATTTTTCCATAGAAATATATTCGTTCAAGAATATCCAAGAAAAAGTATTTATAGAACCCGCCATTATGAATTATGATTTTTGTGATTATGGTATCGTTTACTAAACGCCTACTAAAGTAAGCTTTTACCAAGTCACATTAGATTAATATGACAAGAACTAAGAATCTTATCTGGTAAGAGTGAAGACAAGAATCAAGAGTCTTACTCGCTAAGTGAGACCGACGACTCTTACCATGGTTATCGCCTACTGGGATAAATTGTTGTATATGATACGTTTTAGTGAATAAAATCTTACGCAGTAAATAAGCGATAGTGTTAAATTTTACCGATAAACATTTACCGGGTAAGTATTTACGTAAACATCCCCTAACTTGCCAAAAAATAGAATAAATAACATTAAGGTAATTTAGATTCTAAAAATTATTTAATTAAATATTTAAATATCTTAAAAATCTTATTATATATTTTTTCACACCCTCTTTTATGTTACATATCAGACTTGATCTCCTATATTATCACATGTGTTTTTTTTTCTTCACATTTTTTAGATCCACAATAACATTTACATGCTTTAAATCACTTGTGATTAATATTATAAAAAAAACACAATAATAATATGTATTATACAAGGTCGTCCCTTAGCATGTTAAATATGAGATTTTGAACAGCGCCTCCGATATTTTGAGGCCTAAATTTACATGTGTTTATAGTCTTTTTATCGACTTGTGTAAAGCTATAACCGAAATTATTTAGGTTCAAATTATTAATGGTTTTAGTTTTGTTCAGATTATTAATCGTTTTAGGTTTAACCCATTTTTGTTCTTAACATATATTCTCCGATATCTCATTTATACAATATACTCAAAAGTTTTGGATATAGCAGGACTTCCAAAAAGATGGGAACGTCTCTGGTATTATACTGAAATATCACTTATAAGTTTCGGGAAATTCAACCGTAAATTAACTCATGCTTTTTGCATTTCTAACACTTAGAATATGTATATCTAACATGATATGCAATTAATCATGATTTAAAACAATAAAGCATGCTTTAACATTTCGATTCCTCTATTTTTCAATAATATCATGGACGACTTCTCTCCCATCCCAGGTACAGGTTCGAATCCCGTTTCGATCACTTTCTTAGATTCTAACTGTTAATTTCATGTTTATTATATTTTTCAAAAAAATCACGATAAAAGATTCGAACACAGGAGCTTACACACGAAAAGTAATAAACCAACCAAAAGACCGATTATGATGTTTTCTTGAAAAATATCCATACCTTCATTTCTTATAGTAAAATGATGCCACCAGTTATAAAAAATTCTTAGGTCTGTCTCCGTTACAGCATTACTCATTACTGATTGAGATCAAAAACATGATTTTTCGGGTCCAACTTTCGGGTATTACACATCTTATTTATACTAAGTACCATAATCCCATGTTTACTCTCACTGTTATTTTTTACTTGGAACTAGAAAGATGGTTCACGGTTACATTTGACGAGTAAGGTAATTGATCAAAACTGTAAAGTTAGTATCGGTACTCTTTGTTTAATTTTTTAAAATTTTATAAATAAAAAAAAATGGTTATGAAAATGATGCTATTATAAATAACCTAAGATATTATTTAAGTATATTAAATTTAGGTGATTTTCCACTCAATTAACATGTGTCTATTATCAGATAAATTTTAGTAATTTGATCTTCTCTAAATCCTCTCTGTTTCTTTACTTCATCTTAAATAAAGATGTACAAAAAAAGCTCGAACCCTTGAGCCTTGAGCCCGACTTAAGCTTGACTTGAAAAGGTCTAGGTCTAGTGAGACTGAAATCTGATTCGGGCCAAACCTCAAAGCCCTATCAGGTCGAACTTTCGAAGTAGGGCCCAACATGGAAAAAAACCCAGTTAAACCCAAAAAAGACCAGGTCTAGAAAAGCTCGATCGGGCTTTTTTTCAACTCCAATACCCAACCTAAAAAAGCTCGGATTTTTTTTTTCTTACTGAAATCAGATTTGGAACCCAAATCCAAACAAGCAAACCGGTTGTGCATCTAATCTTAAGTGTTATCCTTCGCTCCCTTTTTTTCTATTAGATCTACGAAAAAAAGGATAGCGATGCCTTAAAATGCAATTCGCTTTTATTACGAAAAAAATATTTAAAACGTTACTCATGTTTATGACAACTAGTTTCTATATATATATATATTTATAAATGATTTTTAGAATTTTATTTGTTTTTTAATGTTATTTTGTTGATTAAATAATAAACATTTTAATTATTTTCAAGGATAAACTTCTTAAAAGTAAATTAGAATGGTACTCGTACAATGCATCGAGACACATCTTGATTTCAGTGTTTGTATTATTCTTTTTTTATGTCAATATAATATGACTTTATGTAGTTTTGAGAAAGCGATAATGTTTTTATTTTTGAATAAAATATAAATTTGAAAATATCATAAAATTTTGAAAAAAATATATCGATATCAATATCAAATTAATCTTTTTAAAAGTTCTTGTGTTTTGATGTAATTTTCATAATTCAAATTTTTTAAAATTTTAAGTAACATGCATCAATAAACAGTACTTCGTGCACAAAAAATGGTCTTTAAGAGTTTTTGTCAAATCCTTTATAATATAGTATAGATATAGATATTGGTCAGACTTTTGATTTATTTTAAATTATCAGATATTTTATAACCTCATATGTTTTTGTATGCGACTACTTGATAGTCTGTCTTTTAACAAATATTGAATCTTTATAGCGACATTCTTTTAATTATGATTGATTTTATGAAGTCAAATCTTTTTTAATATTTAACTAATTTTTTATTGATCAACATTAAAACGTGAGAATGACAAACGTTTTAAAAATATGACTGATTATGAGATCAACAATTTTTGAAACGTGACTAAATTTTGTCGACAAATTTCAACGAATCATACTGATATGCTTCTTTATAACAGCCCAAATAAACATGAAGCAAAATGCCAGGAGCTTAATCCCACGTATCAGAGACACATTTAATAAAAGTAACGGATTCAACTGAAATATGAAGAACATGTTCGATAAAAATGTGTGATATAAAGTTGTTTGAGTTTGAGGGCGACAACTGTTTTGAAGCTTGTTTTCAGTTCAATGTATCTGCAAAATAAGAGGGTAGCATTCCATTTGCAATCCTAAACATAATCGCAAATGGAAAGGGTATCCACAAAGAAAGAACAATAAGTACAATGAGTCGAGAGGAAAATCACCAAATTCAGGTAGGAATTCATCACAATCCTTTGCTTTAATATATGATCCACGATATTACAATCTATTTTGTAATATTAAAATTGGTTTTTCAATGTCAAAATCTTTAATATAAATATTCATCTTGAAAAAAACGCTAATATAAACACATATATAGGAAGAACGACGGTCTGCGTATTGCAGCCACAACATTACTGGGMAAACTAGTATAGATTTCGGAAACTTTTTTGGGGGTGTTATTGTCACGACCTTAGAAAAGTAAGATGTGACATTCTTGAACGTTTATAGCGTCAGGGATGTGTGTAAAAGGTGCTATCATATAACAATGTGTTGGCTAAATTCACCAATTGGAGATAAGTGGACTTATCCGCTGTAGGGTAAACCACCACCTCTCAGGTCCCCTTGACTGATTTTACCATAGAGGCCAGTGATAGACAACAACTCCCCTCTACTCAACTCACAACTTTCATCATAATATACAAATATGATTCGTTTTATGACTTATGATATGTTTTTTTAATAATCAGATTGTTTCCAGTGACATCTATAATTCACATCTGCTTTTTTAAACAACTTTCTAAGAGTACGGTATAATCGATTAAAATGTCTTGCGCCTTTGAATAAGAAAAAAGTTTTCAATCATCTACCGTTGGTTACGAAAAGGGCAAAATAGTAATTTACTTTATTTTAAATTTCAATAGAAATTAAATCATGAAATTAATTAATATATATAAAAAAGATAAACTTTAATCATTGAAATTTGGTTCTCTAAAGACTACCGTTTCAATTTCCCCCCTTCACTCTCAAACTTTTCCTTTTTTTCCTACATTGCCGTTGGTAATATATACTTCCTTTCCTTCACTACTCTCTAGTGATGTGAGAGGCACCGTCGCCGGCAACATTTCGCCGGAGAATGGCATATATGTGCACCGATAGCGGCAATTTAATGGCGATAGCCCAACAAGTAATCCAGCAGAAACAACAGCAAGAACAACAGCTTCATCAACAACAGCAGCATCAACAGCCAATAGTGACTGTAAATCCATTTTGGAACACAACCACCCACCAGTCTCCGGCCATGGGGTACGGCTTTTCCGATCCGTTTGAGGGCGGGGCGGCGGATGTCACCGGAGGTGAAGAGACGGCTGGATTTCAGTTCCCGAATCTCGACCATCATCACCACCATCAGAGCGGGTTTAGGTTTGCTGATTTTGTGGCGGCGTCTGGTTCGGTGGGGGAGTTTGACACCGATGAATGGATGGAGAGTTTGATAGATTCGACGACCGAGAGTTCGACATGGCAACCGAGCTCGGATTTTACTCTGTACGCCGCGGATCCGTTTTCCGATTGTCCGAGTCGACTCGCGTGCCCTACGGATCTAAAAAACGGTAACTCTACTTGGGCTCCGCCGCCGGCGGTATTGACTTCAGATCATCTGATACCGCCGGAAGAGAAGGAATTGAAGCCTCCGAAGCTGGAAAAAGCTCCGCCGCCGTCGTCCAAACAAGATGTAGCATCTACGAGTTCACCGGAAAGGATTTTGACAAAACCCTTGCTCAAAACCCTAACGGATTGCGCTCGAATTGCCGATACAGATCCCGGAAAAGCCATAAAACCATTGATTCGCCTCCGTGATTCGGTGTCCGCCGACCACGGAGATCCCACCGAGAGAGTAGCTTTCTACTTCGCCGAAGCTCTCCATAGTCGGGTGACGCAGAAACCTCGAACCACCGCTGATATGGCTTCGCCGGAGGAATTCACCCTCACTTACAAAGCTCTCAACGATGCTTGCCCTTATTCTAAATTCGCACATCTCACTGCAAATCAAGCAATCCTCGAAGCAACAGAAAAAGCCGAAAGAATCCACATCGTCGATTTTGGAATAGTTCAAGGGGTTCAATGGGCAGCTCTTCTTCAAGCTTTAGCAACCCGACCCGCCGGAAAACCAACCCATATTCGCATCTCCGGCATTCCAGCTTTGATACTGGGGGATTCTCCAGCATCGGAGCTTCTTGCAACCGGCAACCGTCTCCGTGAGTTCGCGAAGGTTCTAGATCTGAATTTCGAATTCGAACCCATCTTGACTCCGATAGAAGAACTCAACGTATCAAGTTTCTGGGTCGACCCAGATGAGTTTTTAGCCGTTAATTTCATGCTCCAACTCTATAACTTGCTCGATGAAAACTCCGGCGCCGTCGAGAAGGCTCTGAAGCTGGCGAAATCGTTGAACCCAAGTATAGTCACATTGGGGGAATACGAAGCGAGTTTGAATCGGGTCGGGTTTCTCCAACGTTTCAACAACGCACTCAACTACTACTCAGCTGTATTTGATTCCCTTGAACCGAATATGACCCGAGACTCGCCGGATAGATTGCAGGTGGAGAGATCCTTATTCGGCCGGCGAATAGCAGCGGCGGTAGGGCCAGAAGAAGAAGGAAACAAAAGGGAACGGATGGAAGACAAAGAACAATGGCGGATGACAATGGAGAATTCCGGTTTTGAAACGGTAAATTTCAGCAACTACGCAGTAAGTCAAGCAAAGATACTGCTATGGAGTTACAATTACAGCGATATGTACAATTTGATTGATTCTGATCCTGGGTTTCTATCTCTTGCTTGGAACGATGTACCTCTTCTCACTGTTTCTTCATGGCGTTAATTTTTTAGTTTTTTTTTTCCTGAAATTATGATCTTTTTTTTTGGGTAATGGTGTAATGGTACAGATTAAACGATTAGATCCGCCATTAATGGTGTTCTTTTTTTGAAACCTTTGCTGTGTTTTTAGTATGGGATGACGAAGCCTGGTCCAAGTTTAGGAAAAAGCTGAAATATTAGATCCGCCATTAGTGGTGTTTTTGAAGCTTTTTTTCTTTTGATAATGATGATTTTGGCTGGTCAAAGTTAATTGTCACCCAACTCTCTGTGGCTTCACTTCAATTGATTAATTCAACTTAAATTGTAGTCATCTCTACTTTTGTCAATCAAAAAATTTCTCCGTTTCGAAGAAATTTAGGGATCGTTTACTAAACGCTTATTCGGAAAGTGTTTTATCAGGTAATTTTCCTTACCAGATGAACATGGTAAGGATCAAAAATCTTATCTGATAAGAACAATGATAAAGATGAAGAGTCTTTCTCGGTAAATGAGGGTGACGACTTTTACCCGGGTAAGTGCTTACCGGGTAAATTGTTGCATAATATACCATTTTGATGTACTACATCTTACCCGGTAAAATAAATTATAGTGTTGACTTATAATGGTAAGCGCTTACTTTATAAGTTTTTAGGTAAACGGTCCCTTACTGTTTGATTTGTGTTTTTTGGCAAATGTGATTTTGCGTTTATTTCCGTTTCAGTGGGTCCTACAAAAATGTTATTTGAATGAATGATGATTTTATTTTTTTCAAAGCTCAACATGATTTATGCGAAGATGGTATATGATGTTGACATGGTATGATTTTATTTGAATTTGACCATCCGACAAATTGACAAAATTGAGTCGTATGATAGCAAAGACCCGATTGGAATAAACCTTAACCAAGTAAGACGTTTGTTTTTTATTTAACGAGCTTAATGATTTATGCAAAGATGGTATGATTCGATCGGTTGAATTTGACCGTCCAACAAACTGACATAATTGAGTCATATGATAACAAAGACCCAATTAGAGTAAACCTTAACCAAGTAAGAAGTTGTTTCTTTTTGGCTTAATGAGCTTAATGATATGAAAAGCTCATTAGCTTAGCCATAGTACAATTTCATGAACAAGTCAATGTCAATTTGGCTTAATACACTTGTTGTTTCTGCGATCCCTTATGGATTCAGCCACGACTCTTCCATTCATAACCTCAAGCGGCTCGATTCTCTCATTTACAAGAAGAAGAAAAACCGACACTCTTTCTTTTTCCCTCTAACGATGTTTCAACTCCTCCCTCCTCGATCGTTGGCACTTCTCCCGAAGGTAAATCTGTGTTTTTGTTGATTAATTTATTTTGATTAGGGCATAAAATTCATATACCTGGAGGTAAAATAAGTGTTTCGGTTGTTTAATTAAGGTGTGGAAACCAAAACAAAACGAACATGTGTGACGAAGTTCTAGATTGAAGTGGTGTGATCTTCGTTAGATTTTCCAGATGTGTGATCCAACTAATAGATATTCCCAATAATAAATGAAAACCGAACAAACTCTTTGAGTATCCACTCTTTTAGTAAAAACCAATGGTTTCAACTCTCTTCCTATAAACTGTTTTCTTGTTCGACTGGTCCATTCTTCATATACTTGTCTTCATATGCATAATATCGCTTTTGTCGGATTCGATGGTTTTAGTAATTACATCGGTTATTGTTGAAGGTGGTTTTTGAATTGCAATCCATTTTTTTTGCAGAAGTCTGGGCCTTTGAGGTATTGCAAACGGAAATAAATTCATAAAAAGTAATCAACATTATTGGTTCTTACATTTGGATGGGAGGGATACGAATGTATGCAATGCAATGGTTGAAGGGTAAAATGGTCATTTATGTTATTAAGATAGTTTATTTAACATAAATGAACATCAATTTAGCATAATTTATACAAACAAATTAATTCATATATGATTTAATGCGTGGAATACTGAAACAATCTAGCCTAATAAGTCGAGTCCCATCATTTTAACCCCATTATTGCTCCAATTGGAAGTCAATCAACACAAGTTTGTTATTGCAAGTCCCAAAATCTGGGGTGGTGTCTGATTGGTTTGAGCTTGGCTCCAAAGATCAAAAGTATCAACAGGTCCCAAGTTCAAATCTAAAGAGGAATAAAAATCCCCTTGTGGCCACAGAGGTTCAAATGCGGTGACTCTGGACTATATGTAAAGCAGGTGGTCGCCTTGAGATTAGTCGGCTCGCATAGCGGGTTGGATATCCAGGTTAATCAAAAAAAAATCTGAAATGACACAGTCGTCGCGAATCGAATATGAAAGCAGTTGATGGAAACGAAAAGTGATGTGAAGGTAATGTGCCACGGTTTAATGAAGATGGGACTTTGATCAACAGAGATAAATGAGTTGGTGTTAAAGATCGTTTCATGCAATGAAGAACTGATCAACCTTACAAAGTGATTGCTTGATAGACGATTGTTGGAACGTATCCTAAATGAATTCAAAACCTTTAACAACGAAACATGAGTTGATGGTGACGATAACTTAACGTGTTGAAGAATGGTTATTTAGTAGAATAACCTTGTAATAGATTAAAAACGTATTCTCCTAAGAGAATATCGTCTCTTCTCAACACAAAAATGACTCAAAGTCGTCAGAAGGCTATGCGTTTAAAAGAAACTTGAGAAGGTTATCCTCCTAAAAAGCCGTTGAAGAATGACGAGAGGTAGGATTCAGAAAAGGGAAAACTATAAAGATGATGATCGATGGTGAAGACTGAAGAGCCTTCAGACAGTGTAAATATAGACAAATACAGACGTTTTCACTTGTGGCGGAAAATAATTATTGCAATATAAAATAAAATTTAATTTAATTATAGTTATATAATACAAGATACTAAAAGAGCAGTTCAAACCACCAGGGTGGTGCCTGATTGGTTTGAACTTGGCTCCAAAGGTCAAAAGTACCTAGAGGTCCCCGGTTCAAATCCAAGGAGGAATAAAAATCCACTTGTGGCCACGGAGGTTCAAGTGCGGTGACTCCGGACTATCTGCAAAGCAGGTGGTCACCCTATGATTAGTCGGCTCGCATAGCGAGTTAGATATCTAGGTTAATTAAAAAAAAAAGTTCAAATTACTACAACGTTGTCCAATGATAGCACAAAATGAATCATAATGACATCAAAAACATTTTACACTACAAAGGATACATTCAAAACGGGCCACCACAAGCTCCTTAATGAATTCACACTAAGGTGTGAACGTCACTTTGTCAATTCACGAAAAGTATTCACTGCTCATAAATTGAAATTTGCAGTTTTAGAAAACACGGACATGACCCATTTTAAAAAAACCCTCGATGTTGAAGAATGACGAGAGGTAGGGGACGAAAAAGGGCAAATCAATGACACTGAAGAGCCTATAGACGATGTGAGTACCATGTTGATCAAATGATTCATTAAAAATTATTCGTTCGATGTAAATCAGACAAACATTGTACATTATCAAAAATTACAAACCTGACCCATTTACAAAAGAGTTGGATAGATATGAATTTAAACATGGGTCCCTTGTCTCGCTTTGTACTTTACCGTTTTCTACAGTCTACTCATTTGGTATTTTCAATTAACACTAAAACAAAAGCTTATGTTAGTTATATATAAAATAAATCTGTATCCCTTTTTGACCAAATAATCAGCTAAATTATTTCTCTTTTTTTTATAACTTGAAACAACAATCGTGACTGATTTTGACAACCTTGACTTTTGCGTGTGTTCAGATGTTTTTCATTCGACCTAAAACACAATAATTTTTTATATGTTTGTAACGAAAAACATTCTTTATGATAATACATGTTTAGTCAACAATCCTACATCAACCACTCAATAAGTGTTGATAGTTCATTAAATTCAAAACAAAGTTCTATTCAAAGATATGGATGGAGTAACTAAGAGTTAGGTGTCATTTACCTAAACATTTACTCGGTAAGCATTTAACGGTAAAATTCAACTCTACGGTTTACTTATCAGGTAAGATTTTAGTCTACCAAAACGACATCGTATGTAACAATATACCCGGTAAGTGCTAACCGTGGTAAGAGTCGTCACTATCACTTGCCGAGTAAGACTCTCGGTTCTTGCTTTCACTCTTATTAGATAAAATTCTTGGTTCTTGCCATATTTACCCGGTAAGAGAATGTGAAATGATAAACGCTTACCTGAGTAAGCATTTGGTAAACAACTCCTTTTATATATATATATATATTAAATTATATTATAATAAGAGGTATATTATTAAGTCACTTTTTAAAATACAAATTGTTTTAGCATTAGTTAATCAAATATTTAATAAATATAAATTACTCTTAAGATATTAAAAAGAATATTGTATACCAAATCTTTAATTATCCATAACTTTTTAATATATTAAAGAAAATTATTTTAATAATAATATCACAAATTTAATAAAATCTCATTTAATGCTATAGTGGGGGTTTTTATTTGAGAACCCATAAAATTATGATAACTTTTAAAACCGTTGAATTATGTGTTATTTAATATTATTTTTTTTGCATCTAAGGTTTGGATTTATTGTGAATTGATTACATATATTTATTACACAATATGTTGGTTTCACGTATATTTGTTTCATAATATGAACATTTTTTTATGTTTATGAAACGAAAAATACAACTAAAAAATTTCATATTATGAAACGAATACATATGAAACAAACACATTATAAAATAAATATATGCTAATCAATATATTAAGTCATAATTTTAAATTTAATAAAAATCATATAAAACAATAATAATTTTTACAGTTATTACAATATATAGAATTTTTAAAAGTAAACAATATATAACGAAAGGAACGATCAAATGCAAACCACCCAATTTGTACAAACCATGCAAACCATCCTCATCCGTCGATTTCATTATTTAATCTCATGAAATTTTTTCATGAAATTGTTTCATAGAATACTTTTTTTTATGAAGTTGTTTCATATATGGTTATGAAATTGTTTCACATAATACTTAATGAAATTTTAATGAAACTGTTTCATGTATTTCTCTAAAATTAAAATAATGAAGATGATAATATTCATGATTAACACCCTCCACAATAAAAATGATTAATCAACCACTCATAATTACAAAAAAACGAACAAAATGAAAATTTATGATCGGTTGAATGAGGTTTATATGATTTGTACAAATAACGTGGTTTGCAAAAT